GATTGACCATCTTGATCTTCTTCATAGGCACATATATGTAAAAGATGATTAGCTAATTCATTCGCATTTAATGTTTGTCCTTGTTGATGTTTTTCAAAAAGATCATATACATCTTCATTTGGAATAATAAAATTTCTTTCTAAAATTAATGAACCAGTACTTTGATCAAAATGTATATCATTTAATAAACGTAAAAGTTTTGCTAAACGTTCAATTAATTCAGGTGATGGAGATGTTTGTCTAGTTAAAATACGTTGAACATCAAGTTCACTATGTGCAATATGTATTATTTGTTCGTCAGGGTCAAATGAAACATAACCAGTACGAATTAAATATTTTAATAATTCACTCCAAAAATAATTTTGATCCGATTGTAATTGACGTACTTGATATAAATTAAGTATACGTAAACCTAATCTACCAGTTAAAGGTACATTTAAACCATCAACATTTATTTCATTTCTATCCAATAAAAATCTTGTATGTTGCGTAAGCCAATCTTCAATTATACTCATTAATTGTACTGGTATATGTCGATTAACTCGTTCAAGTTTATGTATCCATTGTGTATTTTGATATTTAATTTTATATTTTAACCATTTATCAGCTGGTATAACAACAGATTCTCCATGTATAAATATAACTAATTGATCAGATTCAGTTTCAAATGGTGGTGGATATTCATCAATAGCATCGATATAAACATTTTTTGCAAGTGTTATATTATCATTTGTTGGTAAACGTATATGTGACATTTGAATTTGTTGTCCATCAATAAGAAATATAAGTGTTCCATCGTCACTACGTAAACGTCTTGCATGGGTTGAAAAATAATCATAAATAAATTGTTCATAACTTAATGGATCAACTTCAGGTTCATTGATATGTTGACGTGTTTCCGGCCGAAGATTTTCATATATTGGTGCTTCACGTAATTGAATATCATTGTTTGGTAAAACAATTGAACCTGATCCTGCAACTAAACCAGCAACACCACTAGTTGTTGTATCTGTATGATGAACTGTTGATGGTTCTTCAATAATTGTACTTGAATTAGGTCGAAATTGATTTGTACGTTGTTGTTGTTGTTGTGGTTCATCAGCTGAACTATATCCTGATTCAATAATTGTCATTTGATTTTCAGTTTTTTTATTTATCATCGGTTGTTGTGGTGGTGGTTGAATAGTGGACGACGCAATTGATTCTTGTGAACCAACTCTTGTATATGTTGCATTTGGTGTTGAACCAAATACACTTATAGATGGTTGATTTTCATGCATTGTACTTGTTTCAGTATATTTACCAATACCAGTAGATATTGTTGATTGTTTATGTTGTTGCCATGCACCAGCACCAGTTATACTAACTGTTGAACCTGGTTCATTTGTTATTGCTTTAAAACGTTTTGTTTCATCGGTTGGTGTTTGATTTATTGGTAATGGTAAAAGATTATCTTGAGATGAATTTCGTGAACGTATTCGTCGATTTAAATTATTAGTTTTTGGTGTATTATCTTCTGAATCACCTTGATATGCTGAACGATCACTATGTTCATATATTTGTGTATCACCACTATCTTGTCGAGAACGTGATTGTTGTAGTTGTTGTTGAAGACGATTTAATTGGTCACGTTGTGCAGATGTTAAACTAAACCAAAATCTATCATCCCATTCCCATACATGACCATACTAAGATAAAAGAAAAAAATATTTTTTTGAATGAAAATAAAAGAATAAAAATAATTTCTACTTGTGTATAATGTCCAATATCATTGAGAGATGTAATTCTTCTATTGCCAAGTATTTGTTGTATTTCATCAAGTTCAAGTGGTGATGTTGATGATGAGATTTGTGGTCGTTTTTGTTGTTGATGTTCCTCTTGAACGCCAACTAAATCTTCCCATGTTAATGGAGTAACAACAGCTGGTGTATTTGTTGTTGGTTGTTTAGTAGTACGTTGCACAACTTGAATAGGTTCAGCATGATGTACTGTTGATATTTTAGGTTCTTTAACACGAAAACGTATTTCATCACCATGTCTTGATGGTCTCTCTTCAGGTTCTATACGTTTGATTTGTCCTGTGGGACTATTTAATGTAGAAGAATCTGATGAACGACCACTTTGATGTTCAAATAATGATCGAAGTGCATCCACTCGACCAGATGTTGTTGTTGTTGCTGCTGCTGTAGTTGTATGAGCATCGGAAGCATCCATATGATCTTTAACCCATTTGGATTGATTAATTGGATGACGTGTATCAACAAGAAGTTGATAATCAAGTCTTTTCAATTGATCACGAACAAGACGAGGATCAACACCCGTCGCAGCTGTAGTCGTAGTCGTAGTTGTTGTTGTTGCTGTTGTTGCTATTGTTGTTGAAGTAACGGGTAATGAAGATGGAAGTGGAGGTGGTGCAGCTGTTGGTCTAGACATCGTACCCTGATTAAGATTTATTAATCCACTTGTTCGCTGTAATCGACCTGAAATTGGCTCTCTATTACTAGATGTAGTGGTTGTTGCTGTTGATTCATCTTCTTCTGTATCAAAATTCATATGTTTTTCATTTTGTTCATATGAATTTGTACGAGAAGTAGTTGTTCGCGGTATTACAGCTGGTGCAGAAATATTTGGAAGTGGTGGCGGTGGTGGTGCTTCACGAGGAGCAACTTCTTCACTAACACTATTTGTAGCTGATACTGGTATAACATGAACTAATTGTTCAGCAAATTGAACACGTGGTATACGTGGTTGATCATCACTATCATCCAAAATAAATGATGTTTCCAATTGATTATCATTTGATTGAATATCGATGGGAACAGGTGGCCAACTAGATACACGTGTTGTTTCTTCTGTTGTTGATGTTGTTAATGTTTGACGAGGATTTACAATAGGTGCATCATTATAAAGTCTTGAAGAAGTATTATTAGTTGCAGCCCAATCTTGATTTGTAAATGAGCCAGACATACTGCTTACTGTTGAATGTGTATTGATATCATCAGCACTTAAACGTGACGTACGATCAGAATCAAAGTCTTCAGGTTGAAGCATTGTTTCAGAAGATATACGATATGTTATCGTTGGCGGTGGTGGTGGTGGTGGCAGTGGAAGTGGTGGAGATGGTGGTTGAGCAATAATTGTATTGGCTGATGACGTACTTGTTGGAGATGATGAAGATATTTGTTTATTTTGTTCTTGATTATTATCAACGTGTATAATATATTCTTCGTATGAATATCGCGATTCTTCGATAAGTTCACTCGGCGATAAAAGTTCGTCAGTATCACTTAATAATGATGGATTATTAGCTAAACGTTGACTACCAGAATGAATTTTCAAACGTTGTTCATAAAGAGGATTATTTGTTCCTGTTGATTGTTGATTAGCACCAATAACTAATGTTGAACCGTGTGTTGATAATTGATTTAATGCTAATGGTGGTGATGTTTGAGTAGATTTTGTTGATCCCGATGGGTCGTAAGCAGCACGAAAACGTATTGGTTGACGATCTTGCTGTTCAACAAATATAGAACTATCTTGATTTATATTATCACTAGATTGATTTATTAAATTCCGATTAAGATAATATATAGATAAGAGTTGAGTTTCAGCAAATGACGGAATAGATTTCGAATGAAAAGCTTGAGTTATCAAATTTCCTTGAGCAGTTTGTGTAGCACTTGTAGATTGAGCCGTTGTCATCAACGATGGAGCAACGTTTAATGGCAACGTATATTCACTTCTTTGATTAGGATTTTGAAGAAATATACGGGATAAGGAAGAATCATTTGAATCAGCTGATGTAGAATTTAATTGGTCACGTCGTTGTGTTGTTTGTTTTGAACGACGAGCTTGTTGTTGATGCATTTAAACTGAAGAAGAAGAAAAAAAATACAAAATAGAATTATAATTCAATGTTTATTATTCTGATTTTTATTTAAGAAATATAAACATTTTATAAATTACCTCCATTTTTACACTTTAATATCCTTGAACTTTTTCACAACATATATATGCTTATTGCAGTCATCATCATCTCATACTTTTGGTCAAAATGTATGTATGCACTTTTGCTCTCTTCGTTTTCTCTTTCTTCTTCGTCTTCTTTTCTTATTCGATCAGTAACGACGAATTTTTCTGTGTTTTTTTTTCACTTTTCTATTTACCTGACTGTGTTCGTTCTTGTTCTCTTTCTTTCTTCGTTCTTTTTCTTCAAGTTAAAATAACTCAACGAACACTGACGAGATTAGTTCACTCAATTCTTTTTCTTCGTAACATTATGCCTTAGGAAGAAGAAAAAGAAAAAAAGAAAAAAGAACGAGAAATACCGGCATCGTTAGTCATCATCGCATCATGTCAAACCGGGTAGAGTAGACGAATAAACACAATAATTGTGATTTTTTTTCTTGCATGAGGGTAAAGAATCATGCATTTATAATATATACGACAACGAATGGAGTGTCAAAAAACATACGCATTTAAATATGTTTCATAAAAAAAAAAGCAAAATATGATTTGACATTGAATAATTTCAGTTGACTCATAACAAAAAAACAAATGTTCAATTAAAATCTTACATAAAGAAAAAAAAAGTCAATTAAACTTAAAAGAATTCTCACTGTTTATATAAAGTAATGACATGATGCGAACATCAATATCAACTATAAGTTTACTTTTCGATGACTATCATTAAAATTGAAACGAAGAAAAAATGAAACCTTCAAGTAACACACCAACTACTCATTCTTCTCTTTCGCGAACGCGTGTAGTAAAGTAAATAGTAGTAAATCTCATATATATATATGTTCGGTCATATTAAAA